CCCCAAAACCCCAAAACCCCAAAACCCCAAAACCCCTTCATTTTCACAATGATTGACTAAATATTATTTTAGAAAGATGAATAAAGCAACCCTGAAGTTCCCTAATATAAAACTGAAGAGGATGAAAGCTGTTATACCCTCTTCACTTGACAAGTCTAGTCTAAAGTAAGGATTCTTTACTTAAACAATATAATAGAATTCCCAAAGATTGAGCAGAGAAGTCTCATTTAAATAAGAAAAGCCTGTTGAAGAATAGGAAGACTATTCTCTTCAAGATGCATGGAAATAAGATGCCTCTCCACTCATTCTCAAAGGAGAAGGATGATTCAAATTCCACACTCCAAGCAAAAATGAAGCCGGCTCTGAATATAGATTCCAAAAAGTATATCCTAAAACTTCTTGTTTATAACAATTTTTTAGGGATCATTTCCAGACTAGAGATGTAGGAATCGGGCCTGAGACGAATCACTCTGAAAACAGGTATATAGCTTAATAAACCCTTGAACTTCTTTAAATAAATCATCAATTTTGTAGACCCAACTAATTTTTTACTCTAGGGAAACCAGTACAGGTAGTAAATCAGTTGCCAAGTATGCTAACATTTCAGAAATTGTTAATAACTTTTAGAAAACTTGAAGAAAGGAAACTAAGTAAATTTTGTCAAGCAATGAAGGATGCTGGGTACAAAAACAAGATATTTCCAGCTGAGAGGATAAACAGTAAAATATACTAAAGATCTTACATTCTAGATACTTTTAAATAAATTCAAACAAATTCTAAAATCAAGGTCTGTCCTCAGAACTCGAGTCAAAGACATCGAAAACCAGGTATCTAAAAGCCCGTAATCTCTAGAGTTTCCACAGAAGTACTTACCAATCTGTAACAGCCAAGCCTCCCAACTCTTTTCTCCCCAACCACCGACTTCTACCACAAAGGCATGCTCCTCTTGAGAGGCCATCAATGATCCAAAACAGGCATTATAGTGTTGGTAGCTATAGGTCTTACTTTCTTTAGATAATACACAGGAAAGGTCAGTTTCTATTCATATTGGCGGTTATGACCAGTGGTCAGATTTTAAGCTTAAAGCCTCACTTAATGCCAAGGGAGATCAATATGGGCAGTCTTAGCAGCCTGGGGATTTATGAGATGCAAGCCTTATGGGTGATAACCCCTGCAGGCCAGTGGAGAGATTGGGTGCTGTTAGAATGGGGTATTTAATGAGATAATCATTCAGTGGGTTAAGGGTTTGTTAGGTTGATTTAGAATATTTATTTTCTAATAAATACTTAAATTTTTAAATTGTGAGAAGTTTTTGAGAACATAGAAGTCGTTCTAGTTTAAAATTTTGGATATTAAAAGTATGGGATGTATGTATGGGGATGATTACAAATTTTACTATTAATTTTATTTCAAAAATTTACCATTTTAGTATGAAAATTTTGACTAATAATAGAGCTAAATAGATAATATATGAAGATATTATTTGATCCATGAAATTTAGTGTAAAAAATATGGAAGAAGAAAGAATTGGGCCGATTAATCATTAGTAAGACTGTTGTATAAATATAGCTTGAAAAATGTCAATCACAAACTTCCTATTAATGAAATCAGAAGAGAATTAGTTAAGAGACTAATACACAATACAGATTATAAATAGAGATGATTCAGATATTAATCCTACAAATGAATATGGCTTCGTGCTTGATTTGAAGAAAAACTATTTTCGCCATAAAAATTCTATTAGCGGAGATAATAGCAGGTAAGAGAACACCTAACAAACATCGCTTAAAAATCTCCCTAATCAGAAAAACACCAATTTGAAGCTATTTCTTCCTTCTCTTTGCCTAAATCCCTCTTCCTAACCTCCCACAACCCCTAATACCTCTTTACCACCTTATTTCTCCTTCCTAGCGACTACTCCCAGCGCCCACTCCCTTCAAACTCCAAATCCACTTCTAAAACCCGTTCAAAATCCTGCTTCTTCAAGTACACACCTTCAAAGATCCTAAAACGCGCTTCAACCCACGTTCTATCCCCATCGCCCGCCCCTTCGCCTAGCCGCTTGCCGTTCCAGAACAACCACTTAAAATTTGCCCAGCAGCCAGAATAAATTGAAAAATAAAGTTCAATTTGGCATAAAATTTCAGGGGTTTTGGGGTTTTGGGGTTTTGGGGTTTTGGGGTTTTGGGG